TAAGTATGTATATATGTTATAATGCATAATTATATGTATATATATATATATATATATATGTATACATACATACATTATAACATACATACTTATATGTACGGTTGGGTCAAATTTGTGTGGTGGTTGAAAAATACAGGGGGAGTCTTAATGGCCCAAAATAGTGATTTCAGAGCACATTGGTAATGTAATTCGACAAGCAAATTACAGTAACATTTTTAGCAAATTTCTTTGAAAAAATATCGTAGGCATATGGGCCTAGCTAGGTATACAGTATTTTCATTTTACAGTAGTTTGGAACGATATCGGAAGTGGGGGTGCTGGCAGTGGCCTGCTAAAGACTACAATTTATTTGAAAATATATTGGGTCCGATCGTCCACACCAGTTGGGCCCAATCGTCTGTCACCCGAAGTTTTCATTACGATTAAGAACGTACACGGTCTAGGCCCTGGGCTAGGCTTAGCTTGCTGTCGTCACTCTGCTACGTATACTATTACCGCATAACAAAGCGACCCACGTGGTGCATTCTTAAATATTACACACATTATTTAATTGTATTAGACGATAACACGATATCATTGATTGAACGATCTAACTACGCATCGCAGTAATACTGAACTAGGCCTAGCTTAGGCCTCATGTTTTTGTGGAAAGCTAGATAGTCGTTATGTACCCGACAGTCGGCTGCCTTTATATTTTCACCTGTTTTCAGTTTGCATTCCAAGGGTACATTGCTGCAGAGCCAACTGCCGGGGATATAGTACTGTACCTTCATATGACTACTCATACGTATACAACAGAAAAAAACGTCGCATGGACTTAGTGAAAAATGGAGATCTAAATGAAAAAACGTTGCATTTCAGCAAGTATTATAACATTTTACTTTTATTTTAGGCCTTTTTCAAAATACCTATGCCTGCAGCAGTTGATTTTTTTTGCCGTAAAACCAAAATAGTTTCATCCATGGCAACTTTCCGATCGGTTAGCGTGAGCCCTGACTGAACTCTGCAGAAACTTCACATCGATCTTCGCATAGCGATGTAAAACAAAATGTCGGAAAACTTTTCTTTGACGCATGCGCATTTGCATAAATGTCTACACACACACACACACACACTACACACAATAAAAAACATAGGAAATAGCAAAAGTGATTACAATAGTTCCTATTGCATTACATGCATAGGAACTAAAAAGTACGGTAACAAACTTTAAATTCTTACATTATAACATGATTTACTCAATATATAACACTGAATATAAATTATTAAATAAATACCTATTCTGTTCTATCACTCTCGTCAACACATCAGTCAAAAATAATATTTTATCAACTGCCTTGCATTGATTTACCTACAAAAGGTGAATGTCATATTTTGTTTTAGTTTTCATGTTGAAACTGAGAATGGGTTTGAAAGGAAAACTAATTCTTTTGTAGAAATTGTGGGAGCTTCCAAACTTACCTGAATAAACGTGTCTCGTTCCGAGTGAACATTGCTGCTGTCAGTCTACCTCCTAATTTTGTATTGCCCGAATGCAAAGTGTATGTAGAGCAAGGCAAATTTTTCGGCTTTATACAAAACCATGGCTCTCCAGTTAACTTGTCAGTGAAGTTGCAAAGTTCGTTAGCAGACGAAAGTTGCACATGACATTGTCCATTAACTTTTGCTTTCTTCTGTTGAAATATCCCATTGTATACCATTCGAATCGGATTGGCTTCACGTACACGCTTCATAGCTGCAACTGCCTCGCTACTGTGTACCAGTTGGACATTAATAAACGTAGAACCACGCCATCTTACTGTAAAATATGCGCTATATGAGCCATTGTTGTGATCAATTACTTCACCATCCGTAGGCGCACTCGCTTTTAATTTTCTATTGTAAATTTTAGCGCGAAAATAATCACCTCCTATTTTCTTATTTGTCTTTAACTGGTCACGGGCTTGAATTATTACGTGGATCTTGTCGCATAAATTGTACGAGTTTTGTTCATTTTCAATATTGAAAGCACATTGTTTAGGGTCGGTAAATAAAATGTGTTGTGTTTTGTTACTGTCACTGTGCACGTCCGCTCCATTCTGGATAGACTCATTTTGATGGAGACTTGATGACGTTAAGGTCGGACCAATATGTAAGTGATTTTCGTCTTCGATAACCGTATAAGAGTTATTGGTAGATGTAATATATCCAGCAATTGCCGGTTGATAATGGCGATAATCCATTTTATCCTGGGAAAAAAGGCAGAAATCAATTAAAATATTAATTAGGAAAGACGTAGGAAGCGAGGCTTCATTAAAATGATTGTCATGTACCGAGTTTTAAATAAGAATATGCTATAGAGAAGGGGGTATGCATAGATATTTACGACACAACAAAAGAGACAAAAGATGCGAAGACCACATTTTTGTCTTAAAGAGCTTAATTGCCTGCCGTAAGGCTGAAGGAAAGAAGACATATTTGGCCTTCCTTGATTTCAGCAGTTTCAGGAAGGCTTTTGACACCGTTTGGAGAGATGGTCTATTCCTTGTAATTGAAAACCTAGGAATAAAATGTAGCCTACTTAAAATAATAAAAAAATTATATAAAAATGTTAAAGGAAAGGTAGTTTTTGGGAGCTTCGAAACAGATATATTTAATATCCCTTGAAGGTGTAAAACAAGGATGTCCGCTGTCTCCCATTCTTTTTACGATGTATATCAATGAATTAAATAAATTAATCAAAAGCCGAAATCTTGGGGTCGAAATTTTTAATGTAAAAATTGGTAGCCTCTTTAGTACAGACGATGTAATTTTGATTGGAAATAGTGAAACTGACTTAGAATTATTATTGAATGTTGCAAGTGATTTAACTACGATAAGTCGTCTTAGAGGGCAAATCATGCCTCAAAGTTGCTTGTACGTTCATTGCCAGTAGCTGTGACCAGCCCTTCTGATAATACCTAATAACAAGCGTTACAGACTGTTCTTAACAAATTAGAGGAACTACAACTTGAAATTAACGACATGAAGGTGAATAAACCAGAATGAAATAAAATTTAAAAAAAAAACGACCACGATCGCCCAGTCCTATTATTCGTCACATTTGGACGCTGAACGGCAACTACACGACCAGTATCGAACTGGTTTTAGGGCAACATCACCACGTCAAAATTCCTACGATCGTTTCCAACCTAGCCATAGACAAAGTTCGCCTGGCCGTTATTATGTAAGGAACGAACGATATAGCCGACCATCACAACGACATGAACACCAACGAGGATATCGCCCCAATTGTCCATAATGGAAGACATGTTCGATTTGCAAACCCGCATTCGGGAAGCTAGAATTGTCTATCAATGAGAGCCAAACGGTAGGCAGTATTTCTAAAATTGCTCATGCAAACAATATATGCAATCTGTAACCGGAGAATATTTGGACATATTGGGAACATTATTCATCGGTATATAAATTGGTGAGGGGTGTATAGAAAAGTAAGACATAAGATTTATCTTACTTTTCTAGATCTAGAAAAGTAAGATA